ACTGATTTTCTGAAGAAAGCGTGCGATTTCCTACATAAAAGAACATTACCCCAGAAATAAAAGACCTGTTAAAAATAAATCCATTACTCCATACTTGCACATAAGTATTAGCTAACTTGGGACCCTATTTCACAATGCCCATGAAACCAACAACCTCACTAAGGCTTTATGGACCCACATGCCCAAAGTGCCAGTGTTACACCAACCAACTCTGTTTGCTTATGTTTTAAATAAGGGCTGTGCTCAAGAATCTGCTGAGTACACATGGCACAAGGCAAGCCCAGACTGAGGACCTTGTCACAGTCCAAAGAGCCCCCAATGATCCTGCCAGGTGTTTGTGCAGTTCTCCTTATGGTAACACAGGATTAGAAGTGGCATGAGGCAGGACAGGGCAGGGACTACTTTTACTGTGGAGCCTCACTCAATGCCAAACAAAAGCAGAGCTACTGGTGAGGTGCTTGAAGGGAAAAGGCAACCTCCAGGCAGAAGGTCCATGCTGAATTTAGAAGAGTTTATTGGTGAGCTAAAGATGTCTTTGTAAGAACCATCTCCCAAGAACAACAACGTCAATGTCTTCAAACCCACTGAAATCTTAAAAGACAATTGAAAATTTAACTGACCCAAATATTTTAATTTTTATATTTTACTAAGATATCCTGTGAAGCTGGAATATAAATCCTATTAAACTGAACTTAGTTTGTCCATCCCTAAAATAGATTTGACATACAAACACAAACACAAGGTCAAGGTCACAGATCAGCAAGAAAGATTACAAAGAGGACTGATGTAAGAGCTGGCATTTGATCAAAGCTTCTGTACGTATCTTTTTTTTTAGTATACTTACCAGAAATACCACTACACTTCATTTTCTTCCCATTGGTACCTTACATGTTTTAAGTATTCCCTACATTTAAGATCAGCTGCTCTAACCTTATTTATTTTGGTAAGAGCTATTAGGCAGCACAGGAAATAAACTAAGGAAAAGCTCTTATGTTAAATGAAAAGGAAGACACTTTTTGCCATCCTTTTCACTCTATTCAGCCATTGCTAATATACATTAAATTACAAATCTAAAAGGAAAACCCACTCAAACACATAGCAAAATGAGTGCTAAAGAATCAGGACCTCAGGTTTTAATTTGTAGCAGTTCAAGACGCTTATCATATATAACAATTGCATATTTGGATGTGTACTTCCAAGCACAACACTTGCTTATTTATCCTAATTATCTGTGTGCACAGCATATATTTCTCAATTAACAAAAAAACCTCAAGGTCTGTGCAGAACACAATCAAACTAACCTCTTCTGTAATCAGGACAACATTTACCTCCTAGAAAGCCTCTAATGCTGAACGCCGAGTAAGTGAGCAGATTAAACACAGTAGCAACAGTTGAAAGACTCATTAAAACTCAGCTGCTGAAAATAGTCAGCAATGAAAGTCATTTACTGATCTATCCATCCATCCACGCACTGATACATTCTCAAAGCTTTAAACACATGCAGGAGAGTATTCAGCTTACAGGTCACGTCTGCCACATGCACCCTCCTGATGTCCAAACACGAGGAAGAAGTTTCTTGGGTGACACACTGGCATTCAAAGCTGCACTGCTGCCACAAAGTTTATATGCTCATTGTAATAGGCAGTAATTTAAAGAATAGCGTGGCTTGTACTCTCAATTCTTAACCCCCACTTTCAACACCAGCACTGCTCTGATGTAAGTCTGGACATGAGTGGGAGCAATTTATATTTAGACAGAGAGATATGTCTATAACTAGGACTGCCTGTGTTAAAAATATTAAAGCTTTTACTGGTCATTTGGGGTGACCTGCAGAACTCACTAGTATGTGGGCATCTTGGACATTGCTAGTAAAACCTTCATGCCATCACATACCCTCCTGCATCTTGTTTCAGCTATTTAACATTTGTTCACTGATTTCCCTCCATTTTTGTAAAGGTAGCACATTTGCAGCTCTCTACCTGTATGACTGGGTTGTCTCAGCTACTGATGGAAAAGCCTCAAATAATAATAAAAAAAAAAAGATGGAAAAAAAAGTTTAAAAATTTGTCCCCTTTTTGAAAATATCCTTCACAAGAATTAGGTTGTAACCCTTTTAAACTAATAGTATTGCCTGAGCTACTAGGGCCAGATACAAATCACTCCTGAAGCCTGGGATGCCGGCTTCTCAGCAGTGTGGTATAGATGCTTTTAACTCTGATAGTGATTCATCAGACCTTAAAACAGTCACTGGTTTAAGATCAAATTGATTTAAGTTGCAGACCCCAGGGCAATACAATTCTGCTCTTCCTTAGTCCCCCTTTTGTAAGCACTTTCATGGAAGAAAAGGGGAGGTTGGTTAATTTTTTTCCCCAAGAGGAATTTCTATCCTTCCTACTTTGTGAAAAGCTGATAATGCTTCTCACTGCATTGAATAGTTACAAAGGGAAAAATAATATAAAGTAAATCAGGCAATGATTACAACACACCAGCAGTTCCTTCCATATCCACAAATCAACAGCTTACTCTGAGAACCAAGCACACATGAAAACATGTATATAGGACATTTCATAACTAAAAACATTTTAGGAAACACATCAGCAGTACAGCTGCCCAACATTTGAAACCCTACAGCAAATTTATTTGGAGTCACACAGCTTTTTTGTAAGTTTACAAACACATGAAAAAGCCTTTGCTTTAACTGAGCTGCATTACAGTGAGTAACTGTTCATTCAGTGTCATGGCAAGTCTTCTGTCAAGCTTACACTATAAAAACCTTCTTTAATCTTCACAACCAAACCTTTGATAAAACAAGTCAGCAGCCATTGTGAGTTTGGTTTTTTTCCTTTTAAGTACAAGCTCACACTCTTTACACACATAACCTGAAGAAGCAAGAGGTTTCTGCTTATCCTGAACTTTGGATTAAATCCCCCACTTATTGAGCAGCAGGGATGTGCAGGCTGCTGTCAGTAGCCATTGGTGGGTTTGGCTGTGATACTATATAAAAAATATCTGCAATCCAGTTCTTATCCATTCCTCTTTGGAGAGCTGGAACAGGCATCTTTCCACACAGTGATCCAAATGTAAAGCAATTCAAGGGTGCTATCTTTCAAAAGAGGGTAATGACAAACAAGAGCAAATAACCAGCCAATACAGTAACAACAATACATATGACAGCTAGCAAAAAGTACTTCTGGTCAATTTACTGGTCAACAACAGTCCACAACAATGGATTATGTTAAAGAACTAGATGGCTATCAATCCCCAATTCTGTAAAGGTACATTTTTTACTTATTTTTTATAAAAAACATTGTTCATTATTATATTTACATGTGTGAAATTATTATATTTACATGTGTGAAATGTCAAGTAAGTTTCTAAAAATCTTAAAGCACCATATTGATGTAGTGGTAAGTTCTTGAACTTTGTACTTCCTTTTTACTTATTTTCCCTGACGTAAGTACACCTATGAATTTTAATAGGCCAATAAAATAATGGCAAGGTTATGCACACATGCAGATCTGTGCATGAGGAAGGCATCAAAATGATTCAAAAAATATTAAAGTTGTAGACATATGCATAGGACAAAGGGGTATCTACCATGCTAAAACCCAGTAACACATCACCAGTTTAAGCATCATGAACTACTAAAAGCAAACTAGATAACATTTAAACTGTTCTTCTATCATTCAGGACACAGCATAGGATTTCCAAGATGTGCAACACGAGTTATTCCAGTGTTCCCATTCCTCAAGTTGTTCAACACAAAGCAACCATTGCAGGTGATTTGGTCTCCCACATGCTGGAAGTCAGATATTGATTCATCATCAAATGAAATTTGTAACAATGAAAGGCAGTGGGAGGTAGGTGGTGAATTCTCTCTGCAAATCTTGTCTCAGCCCTGGGGGAAATATCTCAGAATTACAGTTTTAATCTATTCACTTAATGACTACTGAAAGAATGTGGTGAGAGTGGGGGAAGCTGTCATAACAAAAAACCTAAAAGTCAAGAATCTAGCAAATAACCAGGTGAAACTGCACCAAGGTAGCTCAAACCATGTATGATGTAGTGTAAAGTCATTATCTGATAGTTATTATCTACAACCACACTCTGTCAATTCAGCTGATCAACTATGTTTTATTTCCAGTTTACCCTGCCATAGCAGGGATTTGGACATGACTGACAGGTCACAACTCATGTTCTTTGTGTTGTATAAAACCATCTTTCTTTGGTGTAACTGGAAGAGTCATTTCCCAGCTCAATGTAGCATCAATAATGCCAGTGTTTTCTAAACCAATATATAGTAAGGCCTTGTCAAAAATCTGAAGGGAAATTTCACTGACTGTCTGCATTATTACTAAAACACTTTTTTTGTTTCTTCTCTTTTTCAGTTTATACATAATCTTGCTGAAGAAGGATGGTTTTGTTCAAATTCTGTTGCTCAATTTCATCAGTGTGTGAGTCCAAAAGAACTCAAATGAATCAAATGTGATTTCATTCAATAGCAGTTAAGACTTGGAGCACCTGCAGAATCTTACTGAATCACAAACAACTCCCAAACACCAAATAAATGCTGAAGCAAATCATATTGGAAAGGGAGGTACAAGCCAAAGAGGGCAACAAAGGAATACCAGAGGGGAAAAAAACCCCATAAAAAACCCACAACCCAAAACATTTTCTCAAAGGGACTTAATGCTCTTAAAAGCGTACAATTTCAAATCCTTTTGTTGAGAAAAAGGCAGAAGTGCTGGTGGGAAGGTAAGCATGTCTTCAGCCTCTCAGGAAACTTAGCAGATTGTTACCTCAGCACCCCAGTTAGCAATGTCAGGAGAATGAGATCAGGACTATACAGGGATGTGCAATGAATCATCTTCTGACTGGGAATTCCTAAGAGGGATAAGGACCAAAGCTAGTGTGAATGAGACAAAGTTACCACTCTGTGTCTGGGGTGAGAAAAAAATACAGGTTAATAAACTTTTCAAATTCAGGGCAGAAACTCATACCTTTCAAATGTCAATGCAGGATCTTTGTGAATCTGGTTTTCACTCCTCCCTGCCAAAAATAAATACATTATAATCAGGATGTAGAAACTTATGGTGGAAAATAATTATATTTCTACAGTAACAGGAAAGTAATTTTGTTAAGTATCAGCTCACAAAAGGAAGCCTGTCTTACTTCTTAACAGGGTATGAACAGATTAATATAAAGTTTTCCCCAAAAGCTGGTTACACTTGTGGTTGATTTGTGAGAGTATCCGAACTTGACAAATGAAACTGAGCTGAGCAAGCTGATAATGGTAACCTACCAAGAGAGAGATAGCTCTCCTTGCCTGGTTAATACTACCCACATTGTAAAAAAAGCTGTCACTGGAAGATTACCTTTATTCTAACACTATCCATTTATTCCCGCTATCCATTTACCCATTATGACAAAAAAAAAAAAGCTCCAAACGAACCACCAGAAACAAACCAGGAATACACAACACACCCATGGCACTGCATTCTGCTTCTCTCAAATCTTACTCATTTTCTCCTGCTCTCATCATTACCCTCATTCAATCTTCCCCCAGCTCCCCACTTCCACAACCCACACTTGTGTGGCATTAACGACATCCAAAGACCATTCCACACTACACAAAACACATATATTATTTTAATCTCTCCCCTGAAGACACTGTTCATATAACCCTTTATTTCAACTTTTCAATTGTTTTTCTCTTGCTCTAGATTAAGTTGAAAATTTTTCATCTGAATTCTACGAACATTAATAACTTTCATTTCTATCCACATAACCTAACCACTTATTGTGTCCTTTTTCCTTGCCCTTTTGTTTCCACAAACACTCATTTCTACTATAATACTCAGGCACCTCTCACACAGGAAATTCCATTACGCTTCTGCACTGCTCCCCAGGCGAAGATCATCTACACTCTGGAGGGTACTTCTTCCTCTCCTCCAGCAGTAAATTACCAGAGCAAAAATTAATCAAAATCCACCAAAATACCTCCTGCAAGACCACAAGCCAAAACACAGATGATATATGTTGGTTGCCCTTCCTCACAGACTTGTTTGTTCCCTTTTCGTCATCATAGTCTATATGAAGTTTAAAATAAATACATCTGCACCTGTGAGATGCTGACAAGTTCAGCTGGACAGCAATTAAATGAAGCCCTAGAGCAATACTGGCCTCCAAAATAAGTATGTTTTCTCTTCCTCTTACAGAAAAAAAAAATGCATTTATTGGTTTTGCAGTACAACAATAAGTACTGCTGTAATAACAGTTTTAACCTTTCTTTGACTACATATGATTGGAAGGGAAATAAAGAATGATATACCCTAAAAGATCAACAGAACACAAAGACTAATGATAGGAAGAAAAGGGTACAAAAGGCCTAAAATATAATGTAGAAGGGCTAAAATACGGCATCAAAGGGCTCCCCTTCTCCTGAGCTGTTACTTTTAAAAAGTCCAGTGAAAGCTCTTTCACTTCTCCAGCTGGTACAATGACAATACCCCTACCCTGATGCAATCTGCTATCACTTCAGAGGGCACAGAGGCAAGAAAGACCAGAAAGTGAAAAAATATTGCTCCTAGGAAAGAAAAGAGATACTTCTTTTCAGAGAGACCGTAACTATTTACTTACTTTTAACCACGACCACATCAATGACAAGAATGAGGAAACTTTTGAGGAGCAAGGTGAAGGCTGAGGGAGCACCTGTCCCAGGGACTGGCTAAGCGTAAACCCAGACCCCCTCCAATGAAACAAGGAAGCTTTCTGTGTCCCAGCTGCCTTTGTGAAACAACCTTCCCAGCTCAAACAGCAGGCTTAATACTCTAAGTTTCCATTTTTTTTGAACATAACTTCTCCATGTCAACCCAGAGTGGTTTGATTTACTGGGTCTATGTCTGAATTCTGTTTTACTGCAAATAAAACGTAATCCTTGCTTCCGAAGTCGCCTCGTATCTCTCTATTAAATCATGCAAACCAGAGCTTGCTTGTAGCACTTTGAACAGATTGACTGACCAAGAATACCCTACCAGGATGCAAATTCCACTTGCCTTCTTTATATGCTGCCAGGTTTATGAGAGCGAGTCTGTCTGTGCTTGACATTTGGCATAATTACTGTTGTAAAATGTTTTATATTCCTGTAAATTCTGACTACGACCCCCAAGTGCTTACAAACTGAGATGAGATGCAGAGATAACGAAGCAGAAACATGTAGGGAAAAAGTATAAAAGAGGAAGAAAGTATCAACGCCAGGAAAGATTGTGAGACCATTCAAGCTGCCTGACCAGCATGGAGCTCTAAACTGTAAAAAAATGACAAGCAGAAACAGGTTAAGGTAGGATGCTGCACACTGTAAATCATTATAATCAATTTGCCTCCAGAGGTGAAATTCTAGGTAGCATGGTTCCCAAAACAACAGCTGTATTTCTCTACCATGTTGTAGGAAGCATTTCCACTGAACTGCAGTAAACTTTGTCACAATGCATATGGAGGGAAAGCCCAAAATTTTCATGGGTCTAGACTATTTTTACAGTGATTTTGACCAAAGGAACAAGAGGAAGGACTGGAAGCTCTAAAACATCTTGACTCCAATCTGTTGCTGAAAAACAGGAGGGACAGAAAGGAGGAGAAAAAACAGTAAATTACTGCGTATCCATCACCATGCAAGACCAAAAGCTCCACTTATATGGGGGCATGTGGGGTAAGATTCCAAAACAAAAATTAACAGATTTTAAACCATTCTTGCAATTCACTTCCACACATAAAATATAAAGCATGCACTGAATGCAACTTATTTTTGCCAGCTGCTTATTAAGACATGAATTATTCAACAACACCGACTAACAACAAGCTCCTTTTCGCTAATATATCTAAAAACATCTTTCTTGTGTTTTCCATAAATTCTTGTATATCACTTCAGTTACTTTACTTGAAGCAACTGTAGATTTTTCAAGAGCAAGCATGATCCATGATCCTCACAAATAATAATCAAAGGAAATCTAACAGTATTTATGCAGTCTTTCTAATGCACATCCAGAAAACCCAGACGAGTTGATAGGGATATGTATGCACAATCTTTGCCACTTCAGGTACTAAAACCTCTCTTAACATTTCTTTTTGTATAATTGGCAAATTTGATTATGAGCTTAATTTTTGCATAATAAAGCTCATCCAGTCATTTTTAATTTCAAACTGGCTTGCACTCCATGATGACTAGCTCAATGCAACAAAAACCTTTGACATCACAACCTCATAAATCTTGGAGAACAGAAGAAATTTTCATAGGCACAGGGAACTGTTGTTAAGATACTTCTTCCACTGCTGACTGTACTCTGTCAGCTGTAACTATGTGTAAGTGTCCACACTTGCAAATTACACAAAACATGCACCTGAACTACTCTCCCATGAAATTATTTTCTCTGGTAAAATGACAGTCACAGGTAGAAAAGCTGAGAAGAAAATGTTTGAAATTGACCAAGCATCAGGGGCTTTTTTGATGAAACATACAACCATAATTTAAAAACTTAATAATAATACCAATAAAAAAATAATCTTAATGTACTCCACCACCAAGCTGCAGAGTATAAGCAATATCCTAAGTACAGAAAGGACTTTCACAGATTTATCCATTCACTACATGAATCTGGAATTAAAATCCCAAACTATTTTGGATTTGCATGAACTACAGAATTAAATTACATATTGCTTATACATAAACTGAGATCATTTAAAAACCCCACTCACAAGCAAACTAACAAGTAAGAGGCATTTCAGCTACCGAAGACCTGTTTCAATCTGTCATCTAAATATCTGATGTTAGATGGCTGCTGCTATTTACAGACTGATCATAGTAATTTCACTCCTCCGTTGTTCACCAGGACCTCTCATTACATGCACTGTGTGGGTCTAAACCATGTTGGAGGCTACTGGGTACTGTCAAAATTGCAAGAAAAAAGAGATTGCATCTTGGAACAAAACAGAACATTTTAGGAACATCCATGAAAATATCACAGCAGTGCTTTGGAATATTGCTACTCTATGCAAGAGGAACAGCGAAGACAGGAGAAGATTATATAGCTTGCTCAGTAGCACATTAACTCCATATCCACAGCAAATAAAGATTTTCTGAATTTCAACTGAATTACATATTCTCTATACAGTTTGTGGGTGTTTTAGTTTTGGGGCATTTTTTCCTCTATTAGTGAAACCAAACAACAATTGGGTACCTTAAACTTGAGGAAACAATGGTGCTTACTACTAAAGCAGTAGGAATTGCACACTACAGTAAATGCCTTTCTCTTCCAAGATGAGACAAATTACTGGCATTCCCATCACCCTCAGGTGGAGATGTATGTCAGTCAAATGCAGTAATTGGTGGTTCCACTCTACCTGCTGAAACAATGTTCTCTCAAACAAAACATCACATCAGTACTGAACTAAAGTATGAGTACTGAAGTAAACACAAATTATGGCATTATGATCAAAAATATAATTCCATCAACTTTCCCTATTTCTCAGACATCTAACATGAGGAAGCAGTCCTAATAAACTGGACAAGAACTATTACATGGACTGGAGCTGCAAAAGCCACTGCACAGCAGCTCTTCTGATGCACTGACCACTTTCAGTCTCTTTCCTAACCAAGTAGGATGAAGGTTTCAATCCCAAAGCAAGGGTCTCTCACAGCCCAGTATGTCTGTACACATACCTAAGCACTTCTTGCCTGAACAGGTCCATTTTTAATTCCTTGCTTTAGAAAGCTGTTAAAACCTGGCTTTTACCAGTCTAATTCAGCTGCAATAGACTCGCAGCTCAGATGGACCAGAACACAGGGTGTGCATTCATCCCTGGTTCCACCAGTGAAAAGGCAGAACTGCAGCAGCCCGTGCCAGCAGCAGTGGAAGAACTGATGCTGCAGCAGCAAGTGAATGCAGACAGCTTTTTTTGTGCTGAACTGCTCAGTGGTGCCCAGCCTCTGGAATCCTGAATACTCCAAGCCTGACTGAGCTTCCTCTGCAAGACTCCTGAATAACTAGAACTAAGCC